CATAATGTATCTAAGACTATATGCTGCAAATTAAGATGTAAATTCATTTGGATGTTAAACTTTTAAGAAATCTTGGTGACTGACCTTTCTAATGGTGGCAGCAACCATCTCTCTCAAATTTATTATGCTATTATTAACCTTTTTAAATTCAAGAGGAAATCTGGAGAAATGGCTCAGTCAGGAAAGCATGTACCTTGCAAGGATGTGGACTTGAATTTAGATCCCCAGAATACAAGTAAAAAGCTAGGTATGGTAGGTGACACACACCTGTAATCCCAGCCCCAGGAGCCAGGAGGCAGAGATAGACTGCAAGGTTCCAGGCCATGGAGAAACCTTGACTCAAAGAGAAGCTAGAAGGCGCCCAGAGAACAACACCTCAGGTTGCCCCACATGTGCACCATGTAAACAGGCTCCGTAGCCACACGTGCAAAGGAAAACAAGAAGATAAAATCATATAACTGCAAGAAGGCAGGCTGTGTAAGAAGCAGCCACTTCTGCCTTGGTGATGGCTGGTATCAGAAGAGGAAAGAGTCTGCTTCGTTTCTACATTCATTTTTGAAGAGTAACCCCGAGCAACACCGACACACGTCACAGTAGAGAAGGGCAGATCCTAGCAGCTGTAGGAGTTACAGGAACAGGTATCTGCTTTATGTGGCAGACACTGTCCTTTCCCACATAGTCCTGTGTTAGCTATTGCTGGCACTGCAGCACTTTTCATTTTGCATAAGATGCAAGCCTCCAAAACACTGTTCTCAAGATCAGAAAGGGACTGCCTATGGTGATACAGTACTTGAAGGTTTGAAAGAAAAATCGAAGTATTTGATTGGATATGATGCCTGTTCCTTGGAAAGAAATTCAAATCTGGTTCTGTAAACCAGGGCAAAAAGAGAGAAACTTACTAATGACTTTAAGCTGGTGGAGTCAAATAGCCTTCTCAGTACTTCTACCTCAGGCTGGTGCTGCTGCCTGTCCTGCACAGGGAAGGCAGTGGCTAGTACAGAAACTTGTAATTGACAGTAAGCAGCTGCTGAGGGCTTCTACACCACCCTCTGCAAGGCCCAGAGGACAGCACAGAAACCAGGACGGGAAGATGACGAGGGCTGGAAGATGAGAAGTGTTCTATGGTTCTGATTTATTTTACACATTGTTTTTGTATAAAACTATGGTGACAGTGGATCATAACTGTGGTGGTTTGAATGGTAATGACTCTCATAGGCTCCTATGCTTGAATGCTTTGTCCTCAATTGGTGGAACTGTCTGGGAAGGAGTAGGAAGTGTAGCCTTGTTGGAGTAGGTGTGCTGCTGGGGGTGAGCTTTGAGGTTTCAAAAGCCCATGGCAGGCTCAGTCTCTCTCTCTCTTCCTGATGCCTGTGAGTCATAATATAAGCCCTCAGCTACTGTAGCACCATGCCTGTCTGCTTCTTGCCATGATGATCATGTACTAACCCTCTAAAATGTTGCCTTGGTCATGGTGTCTCTTCACACAATAGAACAGTGAACAAGACAGACTTAGGCAGCACAGTAAGGACCTTTCTCTTAGAAGGATGGCTGAGATATAAACCATGTAACACATTTAGTGGAGTTAAAATCTGCATATGCATAGTCATATAATACGTCAATCAGTAGGTGCCGGACGTATCCCTGACAGGAATTGCACTCTTAATTAAAGTTGTTGTAGCTGAGGTGGCATTCTCTCCTTCTGTCTTCTACTCCACAAGCACTTATGACCAGGAGCAAGGGGATGGAGGAAAAAAGGATACACATGGCTTCTTTGCTTCCACAGGTTCAGTCTATAAGAAGCCACAGATACTACTAAGTCATGAAGCTAATGACTAAATAGAATTTTGATAAATCCTACTGAAAATGTACAATGGATAGTCTAACATACCACTTTTTGGAGATGGAGTCAGATAGGATGAAGGGGCAATCAAAGAAAACCCAGTCAAATGTGTGGTATATAGTTTTAATTTCAGCATGTAGGAGGCAGAGGCAGGAGGAACTCTGTGAGTTCAGACTATCCCAGTCTGCACAGTGAATTCCAGGCCAACCAGGGAAAAGAGAAAGGAAAGGAGGAAAGGAGAAAGAGAGTGAGAGAGAGAGAAAGAGAGAGAGAGGTTGACCAGGAGAGGAAAGGATGAGCCAGATCTAGTTAAGGGGGCCTGGAGATCTGTGTAGTGCCTCTATAGAGAAGAGGGAACCAACCTGGCTTCAGAGAAGGGAAGGAGAAAAAGTGGAAAACACCAACCAGCGATGATACGCAGGCCACGCACAATACCCCGTGAAGGACCATGCCTTATCCTAACTGCTGTGGTGGCCACTGAGTGACTTTACCATACTAAGAGTTATTTTAAATGACTTGTTCAGCTTTGTGGAGAATGGTTTATTTAAACAGTCCTGAGTCAATGAACCATCTGAACATAATGAAGTAACTGGAGAATCTGATGGAGGAGCTCTGGCAATTGTAAGCGCTCACTGTCGATGTGTGCTGGGATGCTTGAGGTGAGCACCTTGGGGCAAAGCGATGCTTTTGGAACAACCTGGTTCTGGAGATGCCAGGAAGAGGTAGAGATGGGTGCAGAAGATGAGGAGGAGCTGCTAGGGGGAGAGGTATATTCCAGAGGGGCCAAGCCCACTCAGGGTGGGAATGGTAATAGGCTGACTACCATTTTGGTAACAAGACTATTGCCACTTGGTAACAAGGAAGAATGGGTTTCTGCTGCACTTATGGAAAGGAAGTAGACAGAGGAAAACTGAGGGGATGTGATTATCGAGGAACTGCCAGACACTGACCAGAGGTGTGAAGTTCCTAGTATTGTATTGTCAAGTCCAAACAATACCCCATTCCTACCCCAACTCTCCAAATGAGGGCAGGCGCACTGTTTAGTCCAAAATTGAGTTTAGGCCAAGCTCAAACTGAACTATAAAGAGGTTTTGGTAGTGAGATAAAGGGCAGCATTCCTTGGGAACCTGTGACACTGGTTCCCATCAGCCAAAAGGAGTCACTTCCCTTACCTCTGGCAGAAGGGACATATGGCTTCACTGACATGTACCTGTGGCTGCCCATCAAAGCCCATGCTGGCACCAGGCTCCATCAGTCCCTAGTCACAAGTACCTATTATACATTTCAAAGTTCCCAACTTAGTCTCCTTCCTGCTCCAGCCACTCGCCCTCCTTAAAACCACCCCCATTCTCACTATTCCCACACTCATTCTCCCTCTATCTCTTGCTATCATCTTGCTCCCTCACTGTGCTCTATTCTCTATCTTTCCCTATTCTCCCTTCTCTTACAGACAGATAGTCCTAGTCACATCCAGCCAGCTTCTTTTTCTCTCTGCTTTGGATTCTTCCAGATGCCTCTGAACATTCCCTCTAAATCACACCAAAAACCTTAGTGGGATGCTGGCAGTTTCTTTACTGTGCCCCTCAAATACACCTCTCTTGGGACAATAAGTGTCCCAAACTCTTGTATTGTCTCTCCTCACTGCTCATTTCCCAGAACGACAGAATGGCACAGAAGCAAGGCTAGATGGATACTTTTGTAAAGAATACCTTTCTGAAATATGAAAGGAGAGGGATTTGAAGGATAAAGTGTTAAAGACATTTTGAGTTGGAAATAAAAAAGGGAATTCACTCACTGAAGCGTAGAGATTAAGTCTTATTTCACACAGATAAGAGAGGCAGTGCTCAGCTGCAACTAGGTAAAACAACCCATCAGCTCTGAAAAGACCTTTGAAGGATAATTTCAACCAGGCGTGGTGGTGTCTTTAATCCCAGCACTTGGAAGGCAGAGGCAGGCAGATCTCTGAGTTTGAGGCCAGCCTGGTCTACAGACAGTCTGGGATACACAGAAATAACCCTTGAAAACCAAAACAGAGTATCTGAACTTTTTGCACATCATGATTTTAAGCAGAAATCTCTTAAGCCTTTTTGATTTATTTTTCCCTCGTGAGCACATGTGTGTGGATGCTAGAGATTCAAGTTCGCGTCATTCTTCAGGAGCCATCCACCTTTTCTGAGTCACCATCCCTCACAGGGACCTGCCCATTAGGCTAAACAGGCTGGTTGATAGCCCCAGGGATCTATCTGTAGCCGGCTCCTCCGTGGTGGGATGGATTACCAGTTCTCGCCAGTACACCAGGCTTTTCATGTGGGCCTGGAGATTTAAACCCAGGTCTTCAGGTGCAGCAAGCATTTTAGCAATTGCGCCTCTCCCCAACCTGTCTTAAGCCTTTTGTAACAGAGAGCTGTGGGTTATGACACTGGCAATAGCCGTTCTTAAGAGTACATCTGTAGCTTGTTTTCATAGTCTAATCCTACAGGATTAAATTAACCCAGCATTAATGTAGTACATTCTTGGGTGAGGAGAAAGGAGCAAGGCAGTCGACACATCACGGTTACCATTGCTGCTGCTCGCGTTAGCAATTAGCTGGTAGGCCTTGAGCTGACCCTAGGCTGAGGATCAAAGGAAAAACACACTGATTGACAGGCCGTGGCAATTTTTATCAATTATAAAAACGATGATACATTTTTAAAGGCTGCCTTGAGTGCACAGAAAATAACGTTAAGGATGCATAGAGAACATTTCCAAATGGGATTAGACGAACATGTTTCATCCTAAGCAAATCCATCTGTGCAAACAATCTCTGGATTCTTTTCTTTTTTGGCTTCTGAGCCATCATGAGCATAGTTCACATCACTCCTTATAGTCAAACACACAGTAACCCTGACTGGGGTGTGGGAAAACCCTGCTTGTGTTTCTAGTCCAAGTCTGTTCTGATCTTAGTTTCACGGAAAGCCGGCAGTTTACCCTAAGGACTCCTGTCTTCCTCCAGCCTCGCCACTCAGGAAGAACACCTTCCCCCATGCTCAGGGACGCTTGAGGGCCCACAGGTTGTACTTCACGCGTGCAAGCCTAGGCACTGCTGCTCGTGTCACCACCTCAGATCAAACGCATCTGGCAAGCATCTCATTTTAAAATAAACGATGACCACGAGGCTTACCCATTCGTAGGAAATAATCCAGCAGCCTCGTGCAATCCCCATCAACACGTTGAGGGTGCGGACAACATTCCCCACCAGCACGTGGGTGGTGGACTCGCAGACCTCGGGTGAGAAGGAAAAGCCTTTCAGTGCGTTCACCACCTGGATGATAAGTTCCTGCTTCCTGCAGAGCAGAGAGGGACCAGTCAGCCATCATGCTGTGTGGCCATCAGAGAAACAGAGGCACAGAGCCTGGTTTCACTTTGGTTACAGTGGAACATGAGATTGGGGAAACAAGCACATTTCAGGTGTTGTGCAAGCCATGAGACTACCCGTGGCATTCCCAGGGACAGTGTGGGCATTGCAGGCCAGTCTCCCCACACCAAGGTACTGCACACCAGATCTTGCACTTCCATGCATTCTTGAGCCAGTGTGTGCATGTTCTCCTAAAATACATAATATGTTGTAGGTGTGTCTGTCTGTATGCATGTGTGCCATGATGTTTGTGTGGAGGGTAAAGGACAACTGTCAGGGGAAGGTTCTTTTTTTCCTTCTCGTAAGAGGGTTCCTGGGATGGAACTCAGGTCATCAAGCTTGGCAGCAGGGCCTTTGCTCACATGTGTCCCACTAGTCCAGGACCCAAATTATCATTTGCTTGTTTTACTTGGAAAATGTGACATTATTGGAGTGTCAAACACAATTTTTCCCATTAAAAAAAAAAGAACTTTAATTAAATTATCTCTTTAATTCCCAAAGCTCACTAGCATCTTTAACCTGTCATTTTCTTAATAGCTGGAACGCCTTATTTGGTTTTTCAAAATGTTCTTTTACCATCCTTATACAGGCCTTTAGTTCTATTCTGCTTGCTTCATTCTTTTACAGTGTGCTTGCTAATATCCATGGCCCCCTGCCCCAGAATTGTTTCAAAGTCCCCAGTGAATCACAAGCCATGAGCAAGGCCTTCTAGGGCAAGGCATGATCTCTGTCTGTGAAGACAGGAGCCTCCCTCCTCTCCACCAGGGTACCACAACAGGCATCCTGCTATGACCCATGCTTGTTGACTCCCTAGTCTTATCTCCGGTATACAGCATCTCAAGAGCTCAGCCTCTCTCTGTGAGAAGGGCTGACCTCTGTCAACTTCTAATCTTGGGGCTTTGCAGAGTGGGCCAAGATGGCCCCTCCCCAACTGATCTGGAGACACTGTGCTTGTTAGCATCTCAGAGAGGATTAAATTTAGAACTCCACTTTAGAATATCTGATCTTCTCTGTCCCAAGCCTGGCAGCCACCAGCAGCTCATGGATGTGCTAATTGGGAACAACTGCCTTTTTATGGCCTTGTTAATCAATGTGGAATCAGGCTGTCCAAGGTCTCCAAGATACGCAAGAAGTGTAAGATGAGACGGGATCAGAGGACAGCACAGCCAAAATGAAGTTTTCTTTTTAAATCCTTTAATGAGAAAAATAACTGGCTGTCATTTTTTTCTTTCTAACTTACGGAATAATCAAGGACTTCCTTATGCTCACAGTCAGTATTTCTAGGGTAGATTAAAGTGTTCATGGCACATCACAAGTTATTAATACAGGCAAGAGGGCTTCTCTTTTGTGAAAGGTGACATAGAGTGTTTAAGGCACCAATGCTTTTCTTGCCACGGGCAGAGAAAAAGAGCCTGCCACAAAAGGCCGTCTATGCACACATGCTCCTGCAGTGTGTTTTCACTGAAATGTCCCAATGTTTTGATGAATGGCTTACAAACCTCAAGTCCTATGATTAATTAAAAAAAAACAAAAAACAAAAAAACGTGGTTTTCCCTTTAAACACAAATTTGAAAATCCATTGCAAGGAATATAGTACTATATATTTTTGTTGGATGTTCTTTATTGTGCTAAATGTTTAAGGGAGATGATAAGGGCAAGCCAACAAGCCATTAACCCTTCTACAAGATGCAGAGATAGCTGCCTTAGACCAGATGTAGAAAGCTTTCCACCATTGTGTTTCTTTAAGACTGGTAAGACCCGCACTGCTTAGTTTATTACACATCCATGGAGTAAGGGGTGGAGAGAAACAACCATGAGGGCTTAAGCAAGCAAAAGGTGATGGCAAAAAATACAAACTCTTAATGCTATGCAAAGGACCCTAAAAGCTTTTTGCACAGCTGCCCATGTTTAACTACATTTTTAATTTCCAGTGATCTTTTAACTCCATACCAGTTATTTTGTGTAAAAGCGAGTCATCCAGTCCTGTGAGTGGCCTAAAGGCATAAAGACCTACCCTATATACAAATTTTACAATGGATAGAAAATTATCAAAACAACAAGTACTTACTCAGATGGCATGCTTGTCATGACTAATGTTCTCATTGGCTAGAGATTTCAAAAGAGAAGAACAAGAAAAAAAAGTCAAAAATATAAGAAATATTTTTCCCACAGAAATACACTTTAATAAGGTTTTTGAACAGTTACATCACTTAAACAAAAACATTTAAGCACTCACTCACAAGTGCTTGGGCACATATACACAATAAAGAGCTTTATATTTCCATTTAAAAAATCAGGATATGAAAATTCAGATACTATGCTAGCTTCTCCCCAACCCCCAAACCCAGATGTGCTGGAGGAGAGCAGGAAGGCTCACAGAGAACCTCCAGACTTTAGAGTACAGACTTTGGAGTGAGGAAGGAGTGAGAATGGTGCTCAGCTGGCCACCCCTCCTAAGCTACGAGCGACCATGTCCACATTTCAGGCGCACTCCTGTACAGTACTGTTTATGGTCTGGAGGGCCCAGCCAACCTTACACATTTGGCAAAAGGTGACTGAATTACTGGGTTACTCCTGCTCTTTTGAAAATGGCATGTATCTGGGGGTGGTTACTGTTAACTATAGGGTCTCACTATATAGAACTTCATCTCTTCATCTTGCTATGTAACCCGCCGTCTTGGAACTCACAATCCTCTTTCCTCAGTATTAGTGAGTACAACCAGATCTTGCCCCATGAGGTATTTGAAACATTGTTCCTTAGTGTAATGTTTAATTTTGGTTATCAGTTCTAAGGATTTGGAAACACCATGGAAACAGATCTCTGGGTGTGTCTGTGAGGATTACCTGGAGTAGATACTGCTCCTTTACTGACTAGGGTCCAGGCTGAATAAAAAGAGGGAGGCAAGCTGAGTGGCAGCACTCATCTCTTCCTGCTTCCTGAAAGCAGATGCTCTGAGCTGCCTCAAGCCTTCCCAGGCATGATGTATACACTATGCCTCCAAGGTGGGGCCAAGTGAAACCCTCCCTTAAATTGCCCCTCATAGGGGCAAGAACAATAACTAATCTACTCAGATGTGTGTGTGTGTGTGTGTGTGTGTGTGTGTGTGTGTGTGTGTGTGTTTAACTGCAGAAAATGTAAATGCTGTGGAAATATGCTTAGGTACCTGAGTGTGCTACAATTTTTCCAGAATTTGCTGACGTCTTTTGGCCAGTGTATATTCCATGGGAATGTGTGAATTTACATTATACATATACCTTTGCAGCTGAAGTGAGGAGCCTCATTTGTGCCTTAAATGGAGAAGGCACACTGAGGAGGGGAATACAAAAGGCTTCCAAGGATGCTGCCTAGAAGGTGACTAGACACTGTACATTTAAGGAAGATGGAAACCGTAGACAGCAGAGGGAGCATGACTCTAAAAGATAACCGGAGGAGAGCTCTGAGGATGACAGCTTTCCCTGTCCTTTAGCTGTCCTTCTGCAAACTTGCATTGTTACCTCTGACAACCCATGTGCTGTAGCAGAAGCATAGCTTTATGGATTGGTTCTAGATACAGGGCCTGGATGTGGGAGACTCCATGTCACACCATTCTGGCTGAGCTTAGTGTCATCTCTGACAGGGCAGGGGTGGGACAGCTCCAGGGCACAGTTGTGGGAGGAAGCTGTGGAAGCTGTCTCTACCTTGCTGGAACTTGGCAATTAGATGCTGGGCAGCCCATCGCCTCCTGCCCCCCACCCCCGCTCCCCTCGTGCCCCTCATCCCTGCCCACCACCACTTCCCTTCCTTCACAAGCTCATTCTCCAGCTTCTTGTCTGTGTATCTTGCTGGCTTCACAGTTCTGCTTGGAGGTCTAACGAGGATTTTCAACTTAATCTGATCAAAAACTAAACCACTGCACTAGCCAGACAATTAGGAAAGAAAAAGAAACAAAGGAGACTAAAACTGGAGAGCAAGTAGTAAAACTACTACCCACAGATCAGATTTTACATGGGTTATTTTTATTTCAATAAAAATAACCACGAGAACTAAATAAATTCAACAAGGCTTCAGGAAATAAGACCAACACATAAAACTAGTTATACTTTTACAAATTAGTAGTGAGCAATCGGAAAAGGATATTAGGAAAACAGTTCCACTGACAAGAAGATGAAGAACAGCGCAGAATAAATTCAGTAGGGGAGGCACAATGTTGTGCAAAGAACATTCAAAATGTCAAAGGGCAGGGGAGAGGGCTTAGAGGATACAGTGCTCACTCCCTGCTCTGTGAGGGGTCTCCAGGAACCAGGCAAACTCTGGGTGGCCATTTGCAGTCCCTTTGTTCAGAAGCCACAGGAGTTAGCCAGAGGAAGCTGGCTAGCTATAGTAGCAGAATCACTGGGCTCTGAGTACAGAGGAAAGGACTTGCCTCAACACTATCAGGTGGAGAGGGGTCAAGTACGACCCCACTGTCAGAGAAGATCAAGGGCTGGAGATGCCCTGGCTCCTCTTCCCGAGAACCCATGTTTGGTTCCCAGCACCTACAGGGCAGGTCACAACCACCTGTAAGTCCAGTTCCGGGGGAACCAGTGCCCTCTTCTGGCCTCGGTAGGCTCCAGGCACAGACGTGGTGCACAGAGATACATGCAAGCAGAATACACACACATATAAAAAAGAAGTATGAAAAGAAAGATCAAAACCCCAATTTAAAAAGTAAGCAAGCAGCTTGAAGAAACATGGCTCCACAGAAAAGGAGCAAACGGCCATCAAATAAACAGGAAGATGTTACACATCCCCAGAAATCAGGGAAATACCACCAAAACCCCATTGAGATGATACATTGCGCATATTATATGGGAAAAAACAGAAGAAAACAGCTTTGAGGGTATGTGAAGACACTTCTGGGGAGTAAAATTTGGGGACTAGTTAGTTAACTGCCTAAAAGTTAAACCTGTCATTGCCAGATGATGAGCAGGGACAAAGAGCAACTTCCAGTTAAAACCAACAACCACTCATCTGGCTGCATCGGTCACACGGCATTCTGCTCATTGGACCACAGGGATGTGAAAACACATCCAGTGTGACTGTTCCCTTATTCAAGGAAATTCCTAAGAGCATGCCAGGTATTTGTGTCTGTAACTGTGAATGAATCTTAAATAAAGACTGTTGATGGGCAGAGAAATGGATGCGTAGATGACAAAGTAAATACAGTCCCAGAGGTAACAAGCTGGAGAGGAGAACTGCAAAGTCAGGTTGCAAAACAGGTCATGTTGGCTGCCAGCTTGACAGGTTTAGGGTCACCATGGAAACAAGGATCCGGACTTGGCTGTGAGGCATCACCTAGCCTGAGTTAGCTGAGGTGGGAAGACCTAAGGTGGGCAGCTCCATTCTGTGGGGCGGAGCCCAGGAGGAAGGGAGAGAAGGGGGCTGAGTACCAGTATTTGTCTCTGTTCCTGACGGCAGGTGCCTCAAGCTCCTGCTGCCTTGTCCTTCCCGCCATGGTGGACTGTCCCCTCAGATTGTGAGCCCACACAGACTCTTCCTCCCTTAAGCTGCTTTTATTAGGTGGTTTGTCCTAGCAACAAGACAAGCAGCTATTACATAATACAAATGGGTTTTGCATATGGACATGCAAAGTCCACCCAGTAGAGGCTCAACTGATTCTTGCTCTACCATAATCTGAGTCTTCAAGGTCACAGGAATGCTTATGTGCTAATGTTGGAGGTGGTAGGACCTTTAAGACATGGGTGCTGGTGAGCGGTCTTTAGGACAGTGGGGGAGGGTATTCTTGAAGGGTATTTTTGCTTCCTTGCATAGTTTTGCACCATCATAAGCTCTTACCATGATGTAAGCTACAGGGCCAGTTGATCTCCCAAACCCTAAGACACTTAAACACTTCTCTTCAAAAGGTAACAATCTCAGATAGTCTGTTACAGTAAACTGAAGCTGACGGGCACACTCTTCCACTGGGAAAACTACTAACAAAACCATTTCAACACACCGAACAGTCCAAAATCAACTTAAAAGGCCAGCTGAGGCCCACAGAGTGTGAGAGGCACACAGCCAAAACCAGGATGGCCACCGAAAGAAAACCATGAACTTTATCTAATATGATGTTCAGTGTATTTTATTTCACAGACTGAAAAACGGAACAAAAGGGTTTAGCAAAACATGGATACAAGATGGCAATCAGTCATGAGTCATGGGTATGTGACTTGTGCACATACACACAAACACATACATACATTTCAAGTGTGCAGATAAGCAGGATATGCTCTCCTCTAAGTCACTATGGCTTTCTGGGCATCAGGACAGCTTTATAGAGCTAGGGGAAAGCGGAGGGCCAAATTAGGCAGGTGACTCACAGCCCGTGGCCTCGGGGTACCATTAATGCTACCTTCTCTTTCAACTGTTTTGTTTATTCTCCTTGAACAAGAGAGAAGGGCGTTCTAGTTCCTTCACAAATTAATGTGCTGAATATTCATTTCATGTTAGTTTAAGATTCAGTTGTTCCTGTACCCTAAATAAAACAATCCTTTCAGTTTTGAGAGTCTCCTGAAATTTGTAGTAGACCTCTGCTGGAGTCTGAAGGAGGCTAATGAGCTCCACCATTACAGGAAAGCCCCACCCCAGCAGCTTAGAGCCAAACCTCTGCACCCCACAACAGAGCCCTGTGCCCCAGGCATCAGGCTTAGGCCTGTGTACCCCACAGCAGAGCAGAGCTCCCCAGGCAGCTCAGACCCAGACACATCTTTCACTGACTTTTTAGACTGAGTCCCTAAAATTTTGTGAGCTATTTTTCTCATTTTCTAGTTTGTTCTCCACTAGCTTTTGATTTGTTTTTATTTGCTTGAATAATTGATTCCCATTAGAGAAAGAGGAGGCGTGTGAGGGTCTGACTGTTAGGTCTGGCCGTTTGATGTCCTAAACAAATGGGTTCTAGTCCCTTCTGAAGAAGAGGAAAGAGAGAAGCTCGCTTGTTTGTTTATTTTAACTGTTAAGTCAGAGGATTCCTCAGTACCTAGAGTCCTCACACAATGAATTATAATCTAATTTAGTGTATAAACTCAGCAAAAGTCTAACTTAATGGTAAACTGTGTGATAAATTGTCTCAGCCGGACACAGCGGCAGG